TAGAAACTTACCTGTGTTTGCAATACTAAAGATACCACAAAGTACTGCCTACATTGGTTTGCCCTGAGACCACTGTAGACTAAGGAGAATGAACAATAAGGACCTTACTTGCCTACAGCAATGGAACAGAAATGCAAGGCTTGACTTGTGGAATATAGAAGAAGTAATGGTTAGCTATGGTACAATATTTCCATTGGGGGACTCTAGTGGCAGCATGAATTGCACAAGTAAAAATGGAATTCCCTGTATGTTCATCTCTTTTGTCTTACATAATTCATGGTTCCGGCAACATCCAAGCTGCATAACATTTCCATTTTCATCTGATTCACTAGAGGACAGGACAAATACATGCAAATCAATGTTCTCTTTTTTTTTTTTTTTTGGTTTATTCTCGTTCACATGCTCTTCATTTGTTATAAAGTCAAATACCTTGACATTTTGACAGCTGACATTATATTTTTATGGGCACAAGTCAATTGGTTGAAAAAGAAAAAAAAAATCTGCTTTTCACTATCTTTTATCTAGGTTTGCTTCTAGAAAAGTAAATTCTTAATAATAGATTCCTACAATTTCTGAAGATGAATTCACTCCTATATTTTTCAGGTACTCTGATGTTATTCTTGTAAACACCAATATTTTCTCATTTTGTTTGTGCCATGATCCTTCTTTTGGTGAAGGATTTGTTATTTCCTAATTGTTTTACAAAGCTTGACAAGGGACACTTTGAAAGTAGAAGGTGATTTTGCTAAATATCTCTGGGACAAGGGAAGGGAAGGGAAGGGAAGGGAAGGGAAGGGAAGGGAAGGGAAGGGAAGGGAAGGGAAGGGAAGGGAAGGGAAGGGAAGGGAAGGGAAGGGAAGGGAAGGGAAGGGAAGGGAAGGGAAGGGAAGGGAAGGGAAGGGAAGGGAAGGGAAGGGAAGGGAAGGGAAGGGGCACAAGAACTCACACAAGTTAAAATGTTCATTTTGAGTGTAAGGGATGTTGTCAGTGCCTACTTCATGAAAAAAATTGCTGAGTTTAAAAACTTGTTTTTGAAATAAAACAATTATTAATTAATTTATAGCATGTATCTAAGATAGTGTGAATCCTCAGGTTCCTTAGTCCAAGGAACAGTTTATGTAATCATAGCAGATAGTCACACAAAACATATAAAATACTTTGGGAAAAAAAATACATCTTGTATTACCTGCATGATTATACACTTGATGCAAGATTCATTCTTGCCACTGCTGAGAATTTTCTCTTTTTTTTTTTAAGTGAATTATGTTTTAACTAAACTGATTTTTTTTTTTCCATAGCTCAAACACAAAATTCACAGGGCTTTAGTCAAGAATCATTAATCAGTAATAAGATATCTCAGACTTGACTGACTCTGCTGCTGTACCCTAGTCCATCCTCTTGGCCTTTTCAAACCAGTGTAATTTCTGCTGTCCTAATTGCTTCTTTTTCCCTTTCCTTCTGATATCTCATCTTTTTCCCTTGAGTCTATCTCACTTTATTTCTCGTATTTTCTTATATAACCTACAGAATAGGTTTTACAGCTTTTGTATCATTGTAGTGTCTTCTCCCTTCTAGCACTGTGCAATTGATTTTTTTTTTTTATCTCTTTTTTCTTTTGCTCAGTCAGGCTTCTTTTTCCTCTCCTGGTTCTTCCCCTTCTTTATCTCTTTTTCCTATTTTCCCTCCCCTGCTGCTCTTCACCCTCTCTGGTTACCCACCTTCCCTTTCTCATCAGTCTTATCATTCCACTGATTTCTACCTCATTCTCCATCCCACTTTTTTTTTTTTTTTTCCTTTTTCTTTTTTTCCTCTCCAATTGCTGACTCTGATGCCTCCTGGTATGACCCATAGCTCGTCTGCTTTAAATGTTTTAAATTCTTCTATTTTTTTTTTTCTGTCTACTTTCCAGACTTTTTAAAAGTCATTCTAAAACTCCACAGCCTTTATAAGAAAGCACAGTTTGCAACATGCTCTTTCTTTTTGTATTCCCCATTACATAGACCTGTCATCTTAAAATCAGTGCTTTCAGGGAGATTAAGGAAGAAAACAAGTTTCACTGCAGCTACCAAATATAGACCAGACTTGCACAACCTGCAAGAATTACCCCAAATCTCTTCTTGCTATTTCATATCTGAGAAAGCAATTGTCCATGACCATTAAAATAAAATAATATAAAACAAAACAAGTATTATGAGTTTTTTTTTATTCCCAACTGAAATTATAATGCCACAAACTTCTAAACTAAGCCTAAGCATTCTTTTTTTCCCTTTTTTTTAAGCATTCTCTTTCTCCTCTCTTTCTTTTATCCTTGTTGGGACTGATACGAACTATTGTACATGGAGATGGATCTGTTCACTGCAGGTCATTCTAATTGATTATCACAGTGATTAAAAAATAATGTTATTTATTACTATTCCAAATCTTTTTTTTGTGCAGAACATGCACAACAATGACTGAATGTAAATATATGGTACAAGCAGTGTATGTACTGCTAAGCAACGCGAAAAGAGTCAGAGAAATACAAGTTGAACTTGTAAACTTGAGAAGTTGATCTTTCAGAACTGGAACATGCAAAGGTGAGCACTACCTGCTTCCCCTCCCTGTCTTGTCCCTCATTCCAGCTTTTTCTTCTGATTTACCCATTGAACTTATTTATTTATTTATTTATTTATTTAGGCTTAAGAGTGAGACTTCATTTTCTGGTTTCGCTTACTCTGTGTGATATTGCATTGTTTACAGAATATAAAATACATTTTCAGTCATAACAAATAATTTTGTCAAAATCCTGAATCTGCATATTTCTGACAGGTTGTACTACAAAAATTAAAGTGGTTTGAAAAGAGGATATTCATGCAACTTTATTTCATATAAACACTTGTGTAAAATTCAAAACCAACAGTAATGGCTGGAAAACAAAGAGAGATGTTAATGATACCAGCACCAGATTCTTGCAGCAAGGTATCCTTGCTGCTGAATAAAATGAACCACTTTCAGACAGTCTTGGCTATCCCCATGACAACCTATACCTCTTATGGCAGTGGAATTCCACAGTTATTCTTTTGTTTCCCCTACGGGTTGACCGTTCTTCCTACAAGAAAGGCATATGAATCCTGCATGGCTTTCAAACTTCTGCTATGCTATCTGAAAATCTAAAATAAAAAAAAAAAACCAAAAAACAACATGGTTAAGTTTTTGTAGAAGCAGTGAAAAAATGAAAACAACATTTCTGCACTCTTTGTCAATGAACACTAAAAATATAAATTAGTTTTGAGATAAGATATAATGTTATTGGAATAGAAATTTTATTAAGTATGAGAAATCATTGTGTTATTTATTTATTTATTTGTTTGTTTAAACGTCTTCCCCCTTGCCCCCCTCCCCCCAGGCTATAGACCACACATGTTCTTTAATAAAAGCATCTTTATATTCTTGTTTACATACATCTCACTAGATTGACACAATATTTTTATGTGTATTTAGTAATTACAGACATAATATACTTCAGAAATCAAGGCTTAGGTATTTTGGATTTTGCTTAAATCTCAAACAACAAATATTCTCATCCTGTATCTGTGGTTTATTTAGTTCTCCAGGTTAACTCTCTGGTTGACCTGAAATGCTCCAGTAAGCCCACAAGAGGCTTTACCTGGGAAGCAGATAACTGTCTACTCCCTTAGGTGCTGTTTCAAAACAAAAATAAATAGGAAACTAACATTATGGCATCACCAGCATTCTGAGTAACTTGGTAGTAGGAGGCTTGTCTGTGGCATAGGAGACTTGAGTTATAGAGCCATTTTGAGAGTTTTGTCCAGGTTTCGGCTAGGATAGACCTAATTTTCCTCCTAGTAGCTGGTATGCTGCTGTGTTTTGGATTTAGGATGAGAATAATGTTGATAACACACTGACGTTTTAATTGTTGCAGAGCAGTGCTTACACCAAGCCAAGGAATTTTCAGCTTTTCACTCTGTCCTGCCAGCGGGCAGGCTGGGGGTGCAGTAGGAGTTGGGAGGGGACAGACCCAGGACAGCTGACCTGTGGCCAAAGGGATATTCCATACGGCAACATGCTGAACAATTATTACGGGGTAGCTGGCCATGGTGGGGGGACCACGGCTCAAGCATAGGCTGGGCATCGGTCAGTGGGTGGTGAGCAATTGCATTGTCCATCACTTATTCCATGCACATTAGTAGTAGCAGTACTATTATCATTATTGTTTTTGTTTGTTTGTTTGTTTGTTTGTTTTGTTTTGTTTTGTTTTGTTTTTCCTGTCTTAATATACTGTCTCTGTCTCAACCCACAGGCTTTATTTTCCTATTTCTCTAACCATCCCAGAGAGGGAGGGGGAGCAAAGGGCTGTGTGGTGCTTAGCTGCTGACGGGGAGAAACCACAACAGCAATGTAGTCATGTAACCAAACTAAAGCCAAAACTTTCAGCCCAGTCCTTGACCTGAATATGGAGTGTGGATCCTGGCACTTCTACGTGATAGTTTATATGCAGCCAAAGTAAATACTGTAGTTAGAGGTCATGGGGCTAGATTTTGAAAAGTTCTGCATAAAGAAGAGATCTCAGAAAAACAAATTTAAATAACATTAATATCAAGAAAAGTCGTTCTGATTGCTATAGCCTTTATCAGTCGTGACTAGACAGATGAAAATCTGTGAGTGAAATGTTGTCTTTAAGATCACTTTCTTTTTTCTTTTATTTATTTATGTTTATTTACCTTATTTTATCAGGCTCTGTACGAATTTTCCTAACAGAACAACTAGAAAAAATATGACCCTTACACACCTCTTGTAGTTAATTCATTAGGTCAACTCTAACCACTAAGATCCTTGTCAGGTTGTTTCTATTGGCAATAAAGAGCAATTGACCTTAAAACACTGAAGCCAGGTAGATGAGCCTATTCCACAAGGTCTCTTGGCTCCACCCTTATTAACTGAAATCTGCCACCTTTGCTATATAGGAAGCATGAGGACAGATGGGGTTAATTGCTTTCCTAGGGGAGTCTGAGGCCTAGATTATCAAGGGTGCTCTTCTACTGTTATGGTGAAATGGACTCAGTGTTCCCTGGTAGGCAGCTTTTTCTTCATGTTTTCTACAGTCTCTGTGAAATAGTTTTAGAGACTCTATGAGCTAGTTGCATTGGTGGTGCTTTCTCAGTACAGTAAACCCCTTGGAGTATGGTTTCACTGGGAAGTAGTTAAGCAGTGAATCAAGTTCAGAAGCTGGCAGGTGAGTGTACCTGGGTTCTGAAGTTGTTGCATGCTCCTGGGCCCCATTCCTATACTATTAGTAGCAGTACTATTATCATTATTATTAGGACAGAAAAGAAAGGAAAATAATAATAAGTTCTCTTTATTTCAACACACAGATTTTCATTTTTTTCTGATTCTTTGCCCCATTTTACAGAGGGTAAGGGGAGGGTGAGTGATGACCTATGTGGTGTTCATTTACCGGAGGGATTAAACTACAAGTTTGAACATCTTCAAATGGAGAGGTTATATCCATTAAGTTACATTCAAAAATGTGTTTCTCTTCCTGTTATCATCATCATTTTTTCCTCTTTGCACACAAACTGGACTGGATTAACAGGAATAGGAACATCTGCTCTCTTTTTCTCCTCCCAATCTTCTCTGTCTACTCCAGACTGAGGAGTAAATTTTTTTTTGCTTATTGAGTTAGTCTTTCAGATTATGCATAATATGAGAGAGAACATAACTGACTTCAATATTAATTGTTTTAAAAAGTGACAGTCTGCTTCCACTGTGAATTTAATTTCAGGAGAGACCCAGATAGAGTAACTCTGAAGTGGAGGAAGGCATCTATTAATACCTATCATGTTTCCTTACCTTCAAAAGACCCCTATACTCTCAACAGAGAGAAGTTATCTTCAAAGGGTCATTTCAGGATTATTTTCTGGATGTCTGCATCTTTGATAACATCTAGGGTAACTGAAGTCACCTCCTTTTTCTCTCTCTCCTACAAGAAAAGGAAAACTTTAGTTTAAATAATATTTAAGTCAGCCTCATCTGGGTAGAGCAGATACAATTATTTTTTTCTATATAAAATGTCAAGTTGTTTTTGTCTTAAAATTTTAATTCAGAGCATTTGATGGTCTTGTGCTGGCATTAGAACATCTGGATTCTGTTCCATTTTTTTCAGGACCAATATCAATTGATCAGTGCTAATCCTCAGTGAGGTATGAAAATAATAAAATGAACTCTTAAATTCTTCTACATAATAGGAGGACTTAATTTAAGATACATATTTTGTATGTTATAACAAACATTAGTTTTGAAAAGTTGTGATAACATCAGAATTATACCGCTTAGACCTTTTTAGCTTAAGTGGTAAGACAAAAATATGTCTAAATATATAAAATAAACCAGGTTTTCCTTTGTTTTTTGTTTGTTTGGTTTTTATAGGTATAGGTCATAACACTCAAAATTTGATTATATTAGATCTACTGGAAAAGGCCTACACTATATGTAGTGCTCTCCCAGAAATGAAAATAAACACAACTTAGGCAATGTTAATTAGCTCATGATTACAGTTAGTTCACATGGGTTATAGAAAAAGCACAGGCTCTTTGCAGAGAAAACTATCAAAGATTTGTCTGTCATAAAATTATTAAAGGAGTATTTCTCTGTCAAAGTGAACACTATCTTATAACTAATATAATAAATTATTGAAATATGCTACCTTTTATGTTACAAATATAATTGCCATTTTAGTTAGATATTGACACTTAAGTGTTTTTTATAATACATTTTAAGACTTCCAGTTATTGTATTTTTTTTCCAAGGCTTTTAGTCTTTTTACATCTTACATCTTTATCAAGATCATCAGTTCTCAGATAATGTAGCTAAATTTGATTTCTGAACTGCTTTTGATATCATTTTCTGTCCTTATAAAAAAGAAAAAACTCCTAGAAGAATGTAAGTTTATTTTCTCTTGTCAAAAAACTTATGTTCTATCACTGTCATTTTTTTAGACTACAAATATGGTTACCTGATGATTGACCCAGAAGAAAAGTTAATTATTCTTGAGTTTAAGGTTCATTTTTAGACACCTCACATACAAACATATAATGAATGCTTTTTGAATTTGTAGTTTCATGGACTGAGCAAGAAATTTTTCAAAACCTTAGTTATTGTTTTTTTTGTTTTTTGGTTTTTTTTTTTTTTTTTTCATTTTATTTTGTTGCTTCTGGTGAATCTATCTATTCATAGTTTGATTTTTCTTGCTTGCCTCAAAGAAATCCCCCAGAAGTCTCTGTTAAAAAGAGCTTGATCCTGATAGAGTTATAAAAGCAACATTTGAATTTTAGTTGGTTGGGAAGTTAAAAAAAAATAAATAAATAAATAAATGTAAAAGATTAGGATTTTTAAAGGAATGTTTATTTTTAAAAATAAAAAGTCAAGAATAAGATTCTGTATGAACAAGATTAATACAGAATCATTCCTCTTTCATCCTCTTCCTTTAATAGGAAATTTAAAATGGTTATGTCTAAAACTGCTACACTTATCCCGTGACACCTGGCTTCCCATCAACTTGTACATACTCCCCTGCATAGAGATCTGTTGTAGTTTGACCAGCAAGCAGCTCAGCACCACACAGTCACTTGCTCACTCTTCCCGGGTGGGATGGGTGAGAATTGTAAAGGTAAAAGTGTGAGAACTCATGGGTTGAGTTTAAGGAAATTTAATCAGTAAAGTAAAAGTCATGTGTGTAAGCAAAGCAAAACAAGGAGTTCATTTACTGTTTCCCATCGGCAGGCCACTTCCAGGAAAGCAGGGCTATTGATGTGTAGCTGTTTCTTAGGAAGACAAATGCCATCACTATGAATGTCCCTACCTTCTTTCTTCTTTATGCCAGCTTTTAATGTTGAATGTCACATCATATAATAAGGAATATATTTGGTCAGTCTGGGTCTCCTCACAGCTTCTTGTGCACTCCCAGTCTCCTTGCTGGCATACTGGCAAAAGAAGTAGAAAAGATCTAAGCACTGCTGTGTGACAACTAAAGCATTGTTGTGTTACCAACATTACTTATGATAGAATCATTACAGTTGGAAAAAACCTCCAAGATCTCCCAAGTGACCAAGCACTTGTCTAACCCTGCTGTCTCCCTACCACCAATTTTATCCACTAAATCATATCCCTGAATTATTTTAATCAAAAATCCCAAACACAGCATCATATAATCCCCTACAAAGAAAATTGTCTCCCAACTAAAACCATGACAAGATGGAAATCAATTGCAAAGTCAGAACATATGACCAGCTTAATTTAAGTTGGGAAAATATTTCACAAGTTTGTTGCCTGTTAAACAAGTTATTCTAAACCTAAAAACTGTGAATAGAACACTAGAACAGTGCTATCAAACCCTGAGGAAAGACAACAATGCTGAAATTGCAGTACAATATTACATAAATGTAAGAAAAATGAGACTTGTTAAAGGTGTGAAACGGAAAAAAAAAAAGTCACAGAGTCTGTAAAGTCATGCTAAGGAGCCAGAGAAGAGAGGAAAAGAGCCATCAGAATTTTGCAAGGAAACTTTCAGGCTAAGATAGACAATGGTCTTATTCCATTCCTGATAAAATATGTATTAGGTCTGTGGTAGACTAAGACTTTTATTGCCCAAGAACACTCATAAAAAAAAATCCTGATTTATTTTCTCTATCAATAAATGTCTGTTTTTTTTTTTTTTTTTTTTTTTTTCCTCCTCCAACTGTAGTGCTTCAGAGTTTGACAAGTTCTGCTGTAAAAAAAAACTACTGTGACTCTCTTAGATAACAGATAATGTTTTCCATGGTTGCCTTTTGCAACCATGCAGCAGTGCAAATATTTCAGTAAACAAATTTTCAGAAGGTGGAATGTCTTGGATATACATACTTTCAATATCATAGGCTATAATAATATCTTTCTGGTGTGCTAGCAATGATGGGGACAGGGAAAAAGGAGGGAAAGAAGGGAAGGAAAGGCCAAAGGGAGCATTACGGTTTACCAGAACTATGCTTAAAAGTCTTGTTCTTGTCTAGGAAAGAGAATTAAAGTGATATTATTTCTCTTGAGAGAAAACACTGGGAAGTAAAGATAGATTTGTTACATTAAACCAAATTTATCATTGATTTCTTTTTTGCCATAATTTTAATCTGTCTGATTCGTGGAAGGGGAACCTCTCTTCTTAAAATCTGAAACTGCATTCAGGACTGAAAGGATAAACCAAGGACAAAAACAATAAATATCTAGATAATTCACTGGATAGTGGATCTTCATACTCTGAGTGCAGATACAGGCATTGATTTGATCTAAACAGATATGGGGAAATACTAGGACAAGAAGGAATAATTTTACTAACACTGGCTTAAAATATTTTGAATGAGTTAGCAAATATTTTTTGTTTGTTTTAAGTTTTATATGCAAGTAGAATGATGTTGAAAGAATTAAACAAAACCAGAAGGGAATATGAGGTGAATATGATGGCTAGGAAACAGAGAACAAGTGAAAAAATTAAGGATTACAAGAAATTTCACTCAACAATTTGGGGAATCCCTCAATATTTAATTTTAAGCTTCACCAAGACAACTTGGATTTTATGGAACTTGACAGGGTATGTCTGACAATGTTTGAGGTGGGATTTCTGTTACACTTAGATAAAATATGAGCTTTATTGCGGTGAGAATGCAGTGGTAAAAGTGGCAGAATCAATACATATGATTAGCTGTACTGGCAATATATATACAGTCATATATTAAGATAGAGGTAGGGACAAGTACATGGACAAACAGAGTTATGAAGACAGCATAGTTTTGATTAGTGCTTTACCTGAAAAATGGTGTAACTTAATAAAAAAGACTTTACATGAATTTCCAATCATATATTGAAAGACCAAGAAATCACACTAAAATCACAAAAGCTCTGATGGAAGGGGAAAGCTTATGAGGTCTGAAGGGCTTTGTAACTCTCTTCAGGCTTTGACTTAGGCAGTCAATATAGAATAAATATTTAACAAGAAATTAGACATGACAAGAATAGCTTTAGCATACGTACTAAGAAACTGGAAAAGCAGAAACCATCTAAAAAAAAAAGCTTGGACACCAACTAGATAAATTTGTGAGACTTCTAACCTGAGAGAAAAGAAAGACTAAGAAGTTGGAAAAAAAAAAAATACATTCTTTCAAAAATAAACTGATTACAGCAAATAAATTTTAAAAACTTGCTAGAAACAAAACTTTCTTGATAAATGTGCTTGGAAATGATGATAAAATGAGAAAAGGTGTTTCAGAGATACATGGAAGGAAGGAAAAGATAGAATAAATATCTGTTTATTTTCTACCTAACAGAGATAGAAAAATTGATAGGAGGAAGGATCAGGCAAATAAATTTGGTAAGGGCCAGATAAATATTATTTGTGCAATCAAACCGTGTGAGCCACTGACCCTCAAGTTAGGGACAGCTGTGTGTAATAATGAAAATAAAAGCACTTTTTAAAACTGGCAAAGTTGTGCCGAAAGTCTCAGTATCGGTTTATAATTATTATTTATGTCCATCTTATGATACTTAGGGTAGGTAACACTGTGACTCTCACAGACAATGTAAAAAGTGTATAAAGGAGAAAAGAAATGTGTCTCTTTGTCTTTTTGTTTATTTACTTATTAAAAACCAAACATTAACCCAAAATAATATGGTTCATTTTGAAAAAGCAAAATGTTTATTGGCATGATACTTTGAGGAAAGTTTAAAAAAAATAAATAAATAAATAAATAAATAAAAACAGAAAAACATTCTCTGTAAGTTAAATCTGTTACAGGAAAACACACACTGAGTTTAAAAATCTTTACCTGATTGCTACAATTAGAAATTTAAGCATACTCCCAAACTACACATCTAGATAAATTGTGATGTATCTAAATATGATATAAATATTGTATGCTCAACCTGATAAAATTTGTAATAAAAAGAAATCATCTAAGAAGATTTTTTAAAATTATTTTATTTTTCTGTAGAGAATGACATAACTTTATTTACATTCACCCAAGGAATTTCTGCTTTTCTACACAAGATCTTTAATTGTGTGAGAGCAGCTGAATTTATTTCTCTTAAGTTTTAACTTTGAAACTTTTAAATGGTGTATTAAAAACCTTAGTATCATGAGTCACCAGTTCAAACAGTTACATTTAGAGGACAACAAAAAGCTGCTTCTGTGATTTATTTTATTTTACTTTTTTACAGCAGACTCAAATAGACTACCATTTCAGCAGAAGTGTACTTTATCTCCATGACATCTTGAAATCTCCAGTTACCATAGTACCCACAATTTTAAAAGATTGGTCATTCAAAAGAGGTTAATAGGCATGTGAATGAACCAATCCAGA